ACCCATTTACGATATCATAGTTCTCAGTATGGAACCAAAAAATAAACTTTCGAAATCAGATTTTTTTTCCTTAGCGAGGTAGAAAAGTCTACAATCTCGAGTTTTATACTATTCAATCAGATTAAGTTACAACTGATTAAGCAAGTCAAATTAATGAATTATACGAATTCAATTTTTCTAAGATCGTTTAAAAAAAAACTTGAAATCGGTAATAATTGATTCTATTGGATCATAACTTGATCTGACTTAATCGTCATTTTCAATGAAAGAAGAAAATGGTATACTTTTCAACTGTTGATTCATATATTTTGGTAAATGATAAGCACACGAGATGATCTATATTCTGGTCCGTACTCCGTTATCAAATCACTTAGCCGCAAAGTGGGCATCACTTCCAGAAGCCTTGAAAGCCTCAATCAGTGAAATGTGTTATCTTCTTTGGAATGACAAAAAAAGCGCGACAACAAAAGAGAGCATTTAGAGAATGTTCCGATAGGTTTTTATTGGTAAGATTATAAGAGCACTCGATATTTTTTTTAAAAATGAACCTAATTAGACTAGTGTAATGATCAACCATTTAATTTCAATGTGAATTTTAAAACTTAAACTTTTAATCTTAAAATGAAAAGTTTGACCAATATTTCTTTAAACCACCAGTGGCAGTGACATGTGTTGTTGTGTAGTTGGTCCACCTACCCAAAAACCCAAAAAAAAGTTTTATTCTGGTATCTGTGAATATCTAAAGGTTCAATCATTCTACCTCATCATCTAAAGTGGACTCCATAGGAGACTAGCTTTTCAAAATTTCTAGGAAAGGGATTTGGATAGAATAAGGAACTTTCGATTGTCCTACTCTACTAAAGAAAAACACTTGAAATTACACAAAAGTGCATGCATGTGACCCAAACATTTAACTCGTTTTACTTTTGCTTTCTCGTGTGAACAAATACAAGCATGTTGTGCTACTCCTAACCCTCAAACGATCAAAAAATTTATCTAAATTTGAACATATTTGTGTTTGCGCGCGCGCGCACACACACACGGTGATAATGTACATAGAAAGTGTTTTTCTTTTTTGTTGTGCAAGAAGAGTGATCAGGGGCCATCAGACATAACAACTCTCCCAGGATATTAACTTGAGATTTTCACTCAATATAGAATGTTTGGTTTGAGCCGTAATTATTGATTTGGGATGATTAAGTTTGTCACTACTGCACCACCAGGGGCGGAGTCAGAAAGTCAAGTCAGGGTGAGCACAAATTTTCAACAAACTAATTTTTTTTTTTTTACAATCAATAAAAATAGGACAATAATTTATATTTAATTAGATAATATTTAAAAGTTCATTAAACCCAACATATCAAAATTTGGTAAGCTTAATATATACAAACGACACATTTTTTTTTAAAACAAAATATAGACTAATTAAAATTATTTTGAATTGACTCTGATGAATTTTCATACTTGAAAACCGTTGCATAATAACTTTATTATTTTTTATATACACTATCATTTTATCACTTTGGTCTTTATATACATAACATGTTCAAAATGTATTAAAAAATTCATGTTTATTTTGATATAAGTGTACACTAATTAATGTGCCAAAAAAATAGGGTGGACTTAATTAAAAATATTGAAAAAATACTTGAAATACATATAGCCAATGTTAAGAAAAAAAAATTGAGAGTGGACATGTGCCTCCCCCCTCCCGGGCATATGCTGGCTCCGGCCATGCACTCTACTAAATTCATCAACTGTGCAAGGAGTGACAAAAAAATTCAAGGAACTGAGAAATGAGTTTTACTCTGTTTCTTCTAGTCAGGTAATTGGGAGTGAGTGAGACAGAGAGAAAAATAAATAAATAACTAATAAGATAAGTGTTACTAATGTTTGTCAAGTGGGCCAAAAATTTTATTTTTTTAATAGGTTTGGGTAGATGGTGATAGGTCAAAAATTTTATTTTTTAATAAGTTTTGATAGATAGTGGTGGGCTCAAATTTTTTTATTTTTAATGGACTTAATTTTTTAATTCTTTTGAGTAAATCATGTGAGTCTAATATTTTTATCTTAGATTTTAGGTGAGCATAAATAATATATTATACATATATATAATATATATACTTAACTAATAAAAAAACAAATTTGAGAGGGGGCATGTGCCAACCCTGGCCCTACCCTCCCTCCGCCCCTGTGCACTACCAAAAGTAAGCTGGACATTTAGCTCTTTCAGCAGTATCTAGTTCAAAGGGACTACTACTATAAGCGGATTCGAACCCATAATCACCGGAGGAGGAAAAGACTTTCACTCTCTACTGATTTACATAGATAGTTAATTAGAGACGAAGACTTCTAAAATTCTTGAAAATGGAAAAGAAGGTAAACCTTTTGGAGGTAAGCAAACATCGATGTGATGCTGGTCTAAGGCCCTTTGACACTCTCAAGTTAAATTTGGTGGGTGATATAAGACTAACAAAGCATGGACTCTTATATGCTTCTAAGTGTTCTATCTGGGTTATTTTGTTGCATTTCCTGTTCAAGGATTTTGATTTCTCTTTATAGGCAAGAGGGTGAAGGCAGTTTTTATAGAGTGGTGGATGAGGATGTGGTAATTGATTACTCTTTTGATGAGAGTGACGATTGTTATATATTCATGTCTAATTCTCAATTCTAATTAATTCAATCACCGAGTGGGGTGGTCTAGTATGATACTGTTTGAACTTCTAACCCAGAGGTCAGAGGTTCGAATTTTAGAATCCACATTAAGATTTGGTGATTGACCGTTATACTAACTCACTTAATTAATTTTGTTCCTGATAGAAGTAACGGGCGCGGTCAGAGATTTCATAATCCCATCAATGAGGAACTATCAGAGTGGTCTCTAAACGTTCTCCTTTGTCTCCACCTTTTTTTTAAATAGCTAAAAAAAAGTCTAACTAATTAAAATAAAGTCGTAATTGATGCACCAAACATATCTCGACTCCAATAAGGGTGGGTGTCTCTTGAATTTTTCATTGCGACATTTTTTTTTCTTCAATCCTATGGTCTCGGGCTTCATGTATTACATCGTAATTTAATTTGATGAACAAAATCATCTACATTATGCAGATAATGAAATTTCTGAACATTACGCTAACCAATTTTGAGACCAAAATTTTCTTTTTAGAGTTTTTAAGTTAGAAAATATTACATAACCCAAAAATTAAAATCCAAATGAATATCATTATTTGGATGAATGTGAGATGAGTGAGTTTCACTGAAAAAATTGATGGAATCCACTTACCCAAAAGAATAAATAAATAGTCATTTTTATTTTCCATCCATCTAACCAAACACAAAAGAAAAAAAATGTATTCTTTTTATTTTTCATCCTTGAATGATAAAAAATGTATCTCTTCTACTTTCTATTCTTCTTACTTTTCATCCTCTCTATCAAACGAAGCATAACAGAGTAGGATATCCCTAACATCAGAGACACTTGTTTCAAAGAGGATGGAAGTCGAGTCCGACCACCGAACGCCTTAATAATATATCTTTTATTTTTTTGATTAAATACTAACCATTTAATCTAATAAAGTTGAGACCAATAAAAACTTATCTAATCTTAAAGGGGAGTGAGGGGAGGGATGTGACTTTATTATGACATGTCTTTTCGATCTCGGTAAAATTTTCGACTGAGTCAAACAGCCCAAAGCTTGATTCGATGTGGACCGTTGATGTGACCACAGCGGCTCTGGCCCCACCATTAGATCACTAACCTCAGTGGGCCCAAAATGCAGTTTTTCTTGTTACTAATTATTTGTCCCCACCAACCGTCGTATGTACCTTCCTACCAGCCCATCATCTCTCTTCGTACAAGCGGTATGTATGTTAATGTCATACGACCTGTTTTTGTTGGGCCTAACTACCGTCGTACCCCTTATTTTTTGATCAGACACTATTAAAACGATGGCTTTTGAATCCGCCAATTTAAGGTCTAAAGAATATGTCATGACATCATCACTAATCAAATATTAGATAAAGAATATGTTTTTTAAAAATATTTTGCCAAAAAAATTATCAAATTAATTTGGTTGGTTTGATTAGTGGGTCCTATTAGAAAAAACTAAGAAAATGCCCCACTAATCCAATTATTCATATTGATCAGATAAACTTTTGATAATTTTTTTTGATAAACGCTATGGTATTCATGGTATAAACTTGAATAATGATATGAATACCAAAATTTTTAATAAATTTTAGATACAAAATGGTATGATATATTGCAAGTTACTAACTCAGTTATTCACAACCATTTTGGTAAAAAAAAAGAGTAATGTTATGCTGATCAAATTTTAGGATCAAATTTAGAGTCCAAATGATATGATAATATATTATTTGAAGTCTTTATTGAGGCCCAAATGACATGACATCAAATAAAGAAGCCCAAATCAACTGTCATGTTATTTGGTTTCCAAATTTATTCAATGTAACATTACTGAATTTTTTTTTGATAAAAGTTGAAAAATGGTATTCAAACCTACTTTGGGGATCTAATCAACTATCGCTATTGGATTGAAAGTAGACTCTATTTAATAATTTAATTCACAACTATTTCCATCGAGCAATTCTATTAACATAATTTGTTGACTTAATCTGATACAACTTTTTGATTGATTGTGAATTATATTAAAAATTGAAATTTGTTATTAATTTAATGGTGACAATGAAACTACATCATTAAATCAACAAATTATGTCTCAATAAAATCACTCAATTCAAGAATTATTTTAAATTAAGCTCTCAAATTGGGTTGCTGTAACATTGCTCGTAAAAGTTTTGGTAAGTGTATTATTTCATAAACCTTGGGGATGATAGTGATATTTCAAAATAACAAGGGATGTCACTACGATTTACCCTTTTTGCAATTATAAAAGCCAAGCTCAAACTTATGTTCCACTACAAACTCCTTAGTAAGAGCCTCTTGTAAGTTGCCCTAAAATACCATAACACCCTTCACGATGAGGCCCTTTAGCCTATCTGTTAAGCCATGCACACCGACACCCACCCCACAACCACCATTCCGGTGCTGCACCACCACTCAACCACCTAGGTTAAACAACCACAACCTTCTCTCCATTCAAACACAGCCCTCTCAAACTCCAAAGATGTGGGAAAAACTTCTTCTCGACTCCAATGTCGACAACTCGGTCCGACCATCATTGCGGTTAACCCCATCTTCTCCGGCGAGGCTCAATAAAAGGTGGATGGAGTATCAAGGAGTGAGAAACTGGGAGGGTTTGCTCGACCCTCTTGATGATAATTTACGTGAAGAGATTATTCGATATGGGTATTTCGTCGAATCGGCTTATAAATCGTTTGATTTTGATCCATCATCATCTTCTTATGGGAAATGCCAGTACTCGAAAAGCTCACTACTTTGCCAGAGTGGTTTTTCGGCGACTGGTTATCGGGTTACGAAGAACTTACGCGCCACCTCCGGCATTCAGCTTCCACGGTGGATTGAGAAGGCACCGAGCTGGGTCGCTACCCAATCCAGTTGGATTGGTTACGTTGCCGTGTGTCAAGACAAGGAAGAAATCGCTAGGCTTGGTCGGAGGGACGTGGTGATCGCATTCCGTGGCACAGCCACATGCTTGGAGTGGCTTGAAAATCTACGCGCCACCCTTACCCACCTCCCCAACGTCGGTCCCACCATTGATTCCAACGAAACCAGCCCAATGGTGGAAAGTGGGTTCTTGAGTTTATACACTTCTGAATCATCAACATGTCCAAGTTTACAATATCTGGTGAGAGAAGAGATTGCGAGAATTCTTCAAATGTACGGCGATGAACCACTGAGCTTCACCATCACCGGCCACTCCCTCGGCGCAGCCCTCGCCACCCTCGCCGCCTACGATATCAAAACCACCTTCACCCACGTGCCACTCGTCACAGTCATCTCCTTCGGCGGTCCAAGAGTCGGTAACCAGAGCTTCAGACTCCACCTAGAAAAACAAGGCACAAAAATATTAAGAATTGTGAACTCCGACGATCTAATAACAAAAGTACCTGGCTTTATCGTTGAAGAAGACGATCATCAAATACGAAACAACACCGATTTTCACATCGGCACTATCTCCGGTTGGATAAAAAACAGAGTGGAAAACACACAATGGGTCTACGCCGACGTCGGAAGTGAGCTCCGGCTAAGTAGCAGAGACTCACCATATCTTAACGGTATCGATTTCGCCACGTGTCACGATCTGAAGACATATCTACACTTAGTGGACGGCTTTGTGAGCTCCACATGTCCATTTAGGGCTACAGCAAAGAGGGTCCTGAGAAGAACCACAGCTTAGAAACCGCCGTGAATGGACACTCTGACACCAGCATATTACAGTACAATTGTTACAATTGTAAGGACATGTAAAAGCTAAATTTGTATATAAAGAACATTTCCCGCCAATTCTGGGTAGTGCGCAGTGTAACACTTTGCATAGAAATGAGAAATTCTTTTGGGTAGAAAACTAGCATGCGCCATTGGGCTGTGATTATACGAATGCTCCTTGTCTGCTCTTTTAGGGTTAACTGTGAAGCAAAGCAGCTACAGTAATATCGATTAGAGGGAAGGCGCACGTTAGCCGGAATCCCCTTGAAAAGACCTTGAGCAAAACAACTAGAAGACTACCATTATATCACCGACCTTCTTTGGACGGTAGGCTAGAATCCGACTGTGCTTCAAGTGGGTTTAATAATTTTTTTATTTTTTATTTTTAGATTATTATTGTATAAATTCTATAAATAGTAAGAAGAATCTCATTGTGTCACCAATCTAAAGTGGATTGGTGAGGTTTATATTCGACTGCGACTTGTTTTTTTTTGTTTATCCATCAGAAGTATTCAAGTTAATTTATGTATATTTTGATTAATCTCTTCTCTGATCTGGTCAAAAACATACTATCCATGTCGAAATTATAATATTTATGAAAGATAAATTACTCATACCTTAACCCAAGTAGTTAGACTATAATTTTTGGCCACTCTTAAAGAATGCTTGTAAATTTATTTATTTTTAATATAAATTCCAATTTGAAGCTTCCCAATAAATGGAGTAACTATTGGGTGTAACGGTTATATCATGTTAACATTGTCACTTCTTATAACCACTCAATCATAACTCAAGAATTAAGTAAAAAGAAGCTCACTCATTCAAATAATCACCCTTCCATATAAAATAGTAATCGCCACATATTTATAAAAAGTAGGTTTCACTTGCTCACTTGCTGAGTTACCATTAGACAATTTGACAATATTAATGTGATGTAATCGTTACACCAAATATTTATCCATTGCCATTACATCAAGCCTAAGCCAATGTGTTTGGTATCTATATTGAATTGGAGAAACTTTCCTCTACTAAATTCATCCACAGGCTTAGACATCAATTAACTTTGTAATTAAAGTACCACGACAACATTCAAAGGTGACCTTTAAATTCTTAACCAAGGACAAGATGAATCAATTAGATATACCAACCACTACATAAGCTACTCGTAGCTGTAAGAATTTGAGCAACACCTTTTATCTGGTATATGAAATGAACTCGACCATAATTATGGAAAAAAATATTATTTGCATCTAATGGGAGGAGAATATATTCAACATAACAGTGATATCACATCATTGTCGTCATGTGGTGTTATCATTCAACAAGAACATAACAAGTGAGTAGGTAAATATCATATATTTTAGTAATTATCTATCCATGTCATTTCGTAACCACTACATATAAAAGGGTCTATTTTATCCATTTTTTTTGTATTTTTATTAAATAATGACACCACACGATAATGATAATGTAGTGTTACCATTGTATTGAATATTTACTCTTAATTTGTGAACTTATCTAGTCAATTATAGCTGTTGAATTGAAAGTGAGTCTCATCAAATCTTAATATTCCCAACTAATCTAATGATTATAATAAATTAAATTCTCAAATTAGATTTTGATTACACTTTATTCTCTGTAAACCCCCACACTCTTATCTTTATATAGCAAGTAATTATTTTTGAAATGCTAATATAGGTGATGAGGTATGCATGAACCCCATAGATTTCAATAGTATGAATAAATACTAGGGAAGCAAATTAATGGTGATATTTAATTTTTGGAGGTGTTTAAGGTTGATAAGGGTAACTAAGTAAAAATAAAAAAAAATTTAGGTCAAAATAATATTATCATTGAACCTGAGAGATCCGAAAAAAACTTGGAATAGCCTTTTAGCACATATAACGGTTCGAAGGAATAAAATAGTAATTTTCATGTTTCGAGTGTAAATTTATTTTAGTTTTGAAATAAATCATAAAAATAAATATTTTTAGGTTAAAGTAACATTAAAAATGAATCCGAAAAGTCGAAAAACCTTAGAGTAGTCATATGGATCAAATTGAAGATTCTTAGTGGCAAAATTATAATTTTGGAAAAACCAAAAATAGTCTGTGAACAGTAAAAATTGGGGCTGCTGTATTTAAAAATTTATTGTCATCCCATTTACTCCTATTCTCTTCATTCCACTTTCATCCTACACCTCTTGAAACCTTAGAGAAAGATTAAGGAAGGAAGAAAAGGGAAGAAGAGGGTCACTAGAGTTTGAGTTCTTGCTTGAAATTTTGATTCAAGTATGGGTTTTCTTTCATTCTCTTACATTGAGGCTAGGGTTATACATATATGTTTTCTTTGACTCTACATCATATTAATATGCTATGAAATCATAGATTCTTAATATTTTTGTAAATGTTAGCATGTTTTAGACAATAAGATGGTTGGGTAACCATTAAAGTTCTTTTCTCATATTCAAAACCCTACATTTCAAGAGAAGTGGGGTTTTTCCTTGATTTCTTCTTTATTCTTGATTTCAAAACTTTAGTGTCTCGTATTGAACAACATAATAATATTTATGATGATCTCTTGTTAATTTTTTTTAAATTGTTATATTGTAAAATAAATGTGGATTTAGATATAAAAAATTGGAAATTTGTGGAATTAAGTGTATTTGAGAAATTGTTGGTGATTGTATTTCATGGAAGTGTTTGGATGACCATGGGTGGCCATTGACTGAGTATCGTAGAGTGGGTAGATGTATGTCGTTCTTACTCCGTGTGGGTTTGAATTTTTTCTGCCACTCGTAGTGGGGTTGGTGTCTTGCGAGAACCAAACTACTATTAGCTCACGGGTGCCGTGTCAGAGGAATAGTATACTATGTCTGGGTCGAATTCGTTATTGTCGATGCATTGATATTGGACAATGCATCGGTAGGCGCTCTTTCCGAAGTTGATATCCTCGCGAGAAATTGTGTGTGTGGGGGCTTGGATATTCTCTATGTGTTTATTCATGCGATTATCTTACATCAGACTTGAGATATATTGTGGTTATTGTTTATTGCATTATCTTTTGGATATGATTATCTTGAAAATTGTTGTGGGAATAATTACTCTTTGAAAATGCTATTTATGGTGGGATTGGTTTTACTCTTGCGCTTAATTATTGTTAATGTATAAACTTGAGATCTTTAAAAAAGTCTTGTTTTCTTTCAAAATTTACGTATGTTATTTGTGAAATGAGACCGACCATTTTTTACATTTTTCAAACATTGTTAGAGTTTGAGAAGATTTTCCTACAATGCTTAGTGCTCACCCCCTACCAATAANGACCGGTGTAAATAGAGCTCATAATTTAGTCCAACTACCCAATTTCGACAAAAAAATTGAACTCTATAAATTCGGATCATAAAATTCAGTTCGATTATCAATTTTATCTAAATATAGTATTTAAAATTAATTTTTTAGATATTTAAATCTTTTAATTTTCTTATATATTCACTTAATTTACAAAATGATAAGTCACCAACCGTGGATAGACGAGAGATTCTTTGGGTTGGGTTCCACTTGAATTAATGATAATTGACAATTATTGAGTGNAGTACTTTATTTTTTCCGCTGCTAAGTTTGAGTGTAATTCTTTTAGAATATAAGTGTCATAGCTTGGCCTACTTTTTTGGGATGAAATGGTGGATATTATATGTGGTCAATGAAATTTTCTTATTTTATGGATAAATGAACCCGGTGTGGTCAATGTAATATAATTGCATAGGTTGTAATTTGGGTAGAACTCCCTGTACAAAGGAGACTTTGCCAAAATTTTGTTAAATTAAGAACCCCGGATTTTTGGGGTGTTACACTCTCATTTCAACTGGGGAAAAAAACAGTCTCAATTTATATCTATAATATAAAATAAGACAGATTTTAATAAATTTATCCGATAGTCTCAAATAGACTTATCCAACAATCACCAATGTTCTACTCAAAATTATTTTCATTGAATTTTTTCCTCCAAAATTTATCATTTATTACTTACGTTGTATCGTGCCTTCAAGTGCATATATAATATATTATTTAGATATAATTTATTTGCATAATCTATTGATCTAATTATTTACAATTGTTAAGTTGACAATGAGAATGATAATAAATGATTAACTCAGTAAATTAAGTGATTAAATTATGTCCGAATTAACGTCGACTCATCATATGTAAACCCTATGGCGCACGTTAGCTTCCGAAAAGGGTCTGGTTTGTTTTATTTGGAAAAAACAAATATAAAATATACTTTGTGTACACAAATGCCCTTGTTTGTCTGGAATTATTAGCAAATTGCCATTACATCACCGACCGGTTCGACCCGCTAGAGTGGACTGTGGTGTACGTGTCCGTCCGTGTACTATATGCGGCTACTTTTGTCCGCCCAATCGAGCGCCGTCCATACCAAACATTGAGGGGGTGGATCCCACTTTCATGCTAAAGTGACCAAAAAGCAAAAAAGTGAATAAGATCTTGATCTCCAGTCACTTTTCTTCAATTCAACCCCTTAGACCGGTGTAAATAGAGCTCATAATTTAGTCCAACTACCCAATTTCGACAAAAAAATTGAACTCTATAAATTCGGATCATAAAATTCAGTTCGATTATCAATTTTATCTAAATATAGTATTTAAAATTAATTTTTTAGATATTTAAATCTTTTAATTTTCTTATATATTCACTTAATTTACAAAATGATAAGTCACCAACCGTGGATAGACGAGAGATTCTTTGGGTTGGGTTCCACTTGAATTAATGATAATTGACAATTATTGAGTGAAAATGTACCGAAGACGATCTCAATCTATTTTTTAATATTATATCTTTTATTCTTTATTAAAAGAGTAACCACTCTGTCATATCCAAAATGAAACCTTCAAACCCTGGGTCTAGATGTTATGTCTGCATTATTTTTATCAAAGATATTGCAAATTTTTTGGTC